TTCCTAGATCCTCTTTTGTTGCCAGTTCAGGGAGTCCAGGTGGTTGAGTATCAGATTGTTCCATCTTGTTGCCCTTTGGGGTTGCTTTAGGTGATCTGGAAGTCTGTTTTTGAGGCTTGTTTACATGTCTTCTCATTTCCATGGGAGGGGTCGGTGCTTCTGGTACCTGCGTGGCTCACCTTCTCTGCCCTAGGAGCGTGGAATGGTGGCGGGGGAACCTCCTTCCGGGTACTGGAACTGGCTCACCTTCTCTGCCCTAGGAGCGTGGAATCTGCTGCAGATCTTTATAAGATGCACTTTTGCCTTCAGCAAGAGACTGTGTCTTTCATCCTCAGCCCTGGTCCAGGAAATCATACCCTTTTTCCTGCCCTGTCTCCACAACCAATTTTTCATATCCCTTTCTCTTCTTAAGTCATACATTTCACCAAAATAAGTGGGAACGTCACCAGGCCTTCAGTTTCCTTCTCAGGGCTTGGTGTCATTCCTGACCTTCTTACCCTCCAGGCCTCTGGTCCTGCCCCAGGCCCCTCAGTTGGGTAGTGGAGGCTGAGAGCTCCTCGTTGTGCTCTGGGGCAATGCTGGTGCTGGTGAGCCCCGGGCTCATAGGGGAGTCTGGGGTGCTGCAGAAGGCCCAATGCCTCCACATGCATGTCACTATGGAGGGCCTGGTCACAGACTACCCATGCGATGCCTGTCCCTGCTTGTCATAGCTTGAAGAGGCTTGGAGCCTGGGTTTAGAGTCTGTGCCGCACAGCATATCTGTTTCCATGGGGAGAATAAGATAAAGTACAGTTGTCTCTTTTCTGGATCCATTCCATTTCCTCCTCAGTGTACTCCAAGCCCACTTCCTCCTGTGGAGGCCCAGGCCAAGCACTCCACTCTGGTGTCAGGCCAGGGAGAGGGGACGTGTCTATGGAGATCCAGGTGGGGACAGATGTCTTGTAGGACAGATGTCATGGGACAGATCCACCAGCCAACAGCTCCAGGGCTGCAGCAGCCACCTGTCTCTCTGGCATTTAAACCAGGAGTGCTGAGATGGATGCAGAGACCAAGGTGGCCAGGAAGCCCCAGTACAGGCAGGAGCTTGAGGCTGGGGCATGGCTCCCACCAGGGGAGCATCTGCTTGAGCTCCAGCAGCCACATCTTCTCTCTTTAGCTTGCTGTCTTTTCATGGGGGCAGACCCAGTGCTGGCCTGGAGACCTGGGAGGCCTGGACTCGCTGCCCTGGGATGGTGCTGGCACCCACGTGTGGCCCCAGGGGCTCCTTCCTCTCCCACACATGCTTTCATTTCAGTTTCCTCTTGTTCTCAGACTCAGCTCCTTTCTAGCGTCGCCTCAGAGTCACTTCCGTCCATGTGAGCAGTACATCCTCCTGCTCCACACACCAGAGCAAGAGATAATGTGTCCCTGACACTGTCTCTTCCACCAGCCCCATGGGGCCCAGACAGGGAGGCAGAGGTAGCTCTTATGGGACAGTGCTTGAAATCTTGCCCAGGGGACTTTCTGCCTGGCTTTCAAGGCGAACCTCTTAAATGCCCAGTCTTCTTCCCTCTGTGTCTGCAAAGTGATAGTCCTGTGAGCCTAGCACCTCAGGGACCAGAGGTGTCAGGCAGCTGGCTAGTCGCCCTTTCTTTGAATCTTACAGGCCTCGCTAATTTTCACTTGTTAGGACCACTTTGATGGTTCCGGGAAGCCACTCTACACAATGCCAATATGTAGGCTCTAAGGCAGGTGGTTTAAAAATCTCACCTGGAACTTTATCCTAAACTTCATGGCTTTTGCACACTGCTGGGAGTGCACTTTCCCATTCTGGGGTAAACAGGAATGTTCAGTCCACCTTCAGTACCTAAAGGATTACCCAGTCAGCTGACTCAAGCAGTGCACTTTGCCAAGAATCTGGTTAAAGGGTACAGTGGGATTGCCAGTCTATGAGCACACTTCCCAAAGCAGTGGGATGTTTTCCTTCACATGGAACTCTCATTTCCCTAGCTGATGCACTGAACTCTCTTCATTTTGTTTCACTTCATTGCTTCTTTTGCTCTCAGATTTCAGCATCTGCAGACATTGCAGAATGTGTTGCATAAGCTGCCCCGGTGGCCAGCGCTGGAGAGACTGCGGCAGCTGGATGGGGCCCTCAGGAATGTGATATCCCAGGATTTACATTTTGTCCAAGGTAAACCAGCTCTGGTGTTACTTGTCATCAAATCCCAAGACCAAACATGACATTTATTGGGAAATGGACTTGCAGACTTCCTGCAAGGATGTAAACCCTGGAGCTAGGTTATGCTGGTGTTGTACACATACTTATACTGTGCCGCAGGGCCTTCAGGGATATTTCACATACTACACAGCAGAATACAAAAAGTTGTCGCAATAGAGGGCCATCTTGCTGCTGACCGCAGCCTGCGGCGAGGCCTGGGACCGGTGATACCCTAAGTCTGGAGTTTAGCTGTCCTGTTCACACCAGCACTCACAGTTCTCCCACCGGAGAGGGACCTGAGTGTTGTGAATAAATGAATCCTTGTGCTCTGTCTCCCTCCCTTCCACTCCTTGGTGTTGGAGAGAGACAGCCTGTCCCTCCTGAGTGTGCACAGTGCCCTTCCCGAACTTCCCTTGACTCTGGCAGGTCTTGTTCCTTCTACCCTCTTCTGATGAAAGTCAGGTTTGCACTTTTACCTAGGTAGGCTGCAGCCTTTTTGTCTTAAGGAGGGGAGAAAAGAAAAGAGCAGAGATGCTGATGTAGAAGCAAAACTCCTATAATGAAGAACCATACTCTCAAGTCTTCAGAAAGATTAAAATGGCAATGCAGTGACTCTCTCCATTTTCCTTTCTGAGGACAATAATGACATGTATGATAACAGGTCAAGTTTACCGAAATGCATACTTTTAGAATTCAGTTTATTGATTCATGGCCATGCATAAAATTCAGATTTGGATAAGAAGCCTAACTGGAGTGAATATTACATTCTTGATCTTGCAGAAATCCTTACTCATCTGGAGACTTTAGCAAATGATTCTGTACTGGGTGGACCTGACCGTTGGAAACTAGAAAAGAATGTGTTCTTTGGCGGGTTAAAGCAGGTAAATTACATATATAACAATGTTCATAAAACATTGAAGAAGCTCATGCAAAATTTAGCTTTGCCTTTGTGAGTTATGCCAGCAAAATAAAGAGCAACAGGCAAGTTTTCACAGACTTCTGTGTTGCATTTAAACATTCTTATTGTTGTAGTTCGTGAGCCCATGGAGAGCATAGCTGAGCCTCTCTGAATGTTGTCTCTTTCCATGCTTGTTCATTTTGTAGCTGCTGATGAAGAATGCTACCGTTGCCTATCTAAATGGATGCTTGTCTGAGGAAGCTCCCAAGTTCCCTGGGAATTCCAGCGTCTGGGGGGATCCCTGGGGACTGTTGTGCCACCACACCTCCTTCAATAAGACCAGAGTTTTTAACAGGCTACTTGGTGCAGTAGAGGATGCTGTAAGTATCCCATGTTCTGACCTCTTCCCAGAGTACCGTGAGGTCATGTTAAGTGTGAAACTCTCTGAAGATGCTAAAATTGAGCCTGTGCTTTTGACAAGGAAGATGCGATCAGCCCACACACTTAAAGGAAGCTGATCAACTGAATTGTAGCTGCCCCTCAATTCTACTGCTTGGAAGAGTGCCATCCACCCAGCCAAAGCCTACTGGGATTTGCTCCCAACCTTTCAATGATGCACCTCTGCCCCTTTGGTTTCTGATCACTTGCGCTGCTCCATGTGGGAAGAGAAAGGGAGGCATAGCTTTGGCGCTTAGTCAGCTTGTTGCAAGAATGGTCTTTCCCCACTTTCATGGTCTCAGGCTTAGAAAATCATGCTCCCCTCATGTCACTGGCTGGGAATGGGCTCCTTTTGCTGAGAGCTTACATGGAGCTATGGAAAAGTTAGCACTTTGTTTGGAAAGATTATTATTTCAAGTGTAGCCCCTGTTTTTCTTACTGAGAACTAAAAATTATAATACTGTTATGTTTGTAATTACTTTTTTCTGTAAGAATTACCTGTTTCTTATTTTTATTTTTATTTTTTTACTTAAATTCTTTTATTGGTACATTTTAGGTATACAATACATTTACATTTATCAATACCGAATACTGAATAGTTTCTCTGGTGTGAGAAACTGAAAGTGTAAATAAGGATTAAAATGATTAAAATGAATAATTGATAATTAGAAATAGGAAGAAAAGGCCCAAAGGGGTAGGGGAAGTGGGAGGGGAAGGGGAAAGAATAGAAGGGAAAGGAAAAGCTATGAGAAAAGGAAAAAATGGAAACAAAGTCTTTGTAAATACCTGTTTCTTATTTTAAACCTCTCCCTTATATACACCATGAAATAAAACCATTGAAATATTAAATGATGCCCCAGCAAAATGAAAGCTGAGATGGTAATGTGCATAGTTGGATGCACTCAGTGCTTTCTCCCATCTGCACTGGACAGTGGCTGCCATAGGGAGCAGAACATGAAGCCACTATTGCAGCCTAGCAGGGTAGAGATATGAGTGACAGGCCACTGGCCCCTGGACATCTTCCCAAAGATGTGGAAGAACCTTCAGTGAACCGTGGGAATCTGGATGCAGGGAGAAGTTAGAAGGGATGCTAGACAGAGAGAAAAGTGTCTTATAAGTCAGGCAGACACATGGAAAACCACATCCTGTTGCACATCTGCCTTACTGCTAGTGGGTGTAAGCTCTTTCCTGGCAGAAAGCCCATTCTGTGGACTGCTCTAAGTCTACACAGCCTGACTCCTAGCCCACACCCATCTGGGACCCACAGGATCTGCTGCAGGTGATACATATTTCCAGGTCACATATATGTGATAATGCTTAGTGTCCCTAACAGACTACCCCAGAGCTTATAGGCTGGAAGCAAACACATTGTCTTGTCTCTCATGGCTGCAGGGATGACAGGCTCAGCTGGGTGGTTCTTCTTGTGTTCTTCCCAGTGCTCCTCCTGTGGCTGTAGTCAGATGGCTCTGGGGGCTGGGCTTCGGATGCTCAGCTGGGACAAAGAGGACTGGATCATTTCCTCCGTTGAGTCTCAGGTTCTCTCTTCTCCATGTAGTCTAGCAGGGTAGCAGGACTTGTCACATGTCTCTCCAGGGACCCCCACAACAGGTTGGAAGTGAGCATTTCAAGCCTGTGACCACTGCTCAGAAAGCATAGAATGGGACCTGCCACAGGTCGCCCTTGCTGAATTTTATGGATTAAGGGGAGGCAGAGCCCAGGCTAGATGGGCGTTGGGAGGGTTTACTCAGAGTGTGGTTATCAGGAGGACTGGTCATTGGGACCATCTGGGGAAACAGGCTGATGCACATGTCTGTGAGACTTGGGTCCCTACCTTTGGTCTGTGGTGTCTATAACTGAACACAAGTAAAGATTCCAGTCCAGACCTATGCCTTGAGGATTCATCATCTCACGGGGTGTAGTCTTTGGAGCACAGTTTGAGTTTCACTGGATAAGTGAGACTATGTTGCTACATCTCAGGTATCCATACTTGCATGGCTTAATTTATGACAAGTGATGTTTTCTTTTCCCAATAAGGATCATGGTTTGCAAGAAGCCATTGCTGGGCACACAGATATTCTGGTTTCAGACCCTGAAGTACATCCAGGCTGGCAGGAGCTCAAGAAGCAGCTGTTGAAAGTGAACCACTCCTGTTCTGGGCTCTTCCAATTGCTAGGAGCTGATGCCTCTCCTGGGACCAGTGTCTCTGCTGGTGGCTGTGAGCAGCAGCTGGTCTCCACCATGTAAGTACATCACGGATGGAAAGCCTCCCGATGCTGTGACATCATCCTGAGTTCAGCTGCTCCCTTTTACCGGGAAGATTCTGTTTCTTATTAGTACAATAGAACGATTTAAATTTAATTTAAGGAGATTGACTGTGTGCAGCTATTAGAAAGCATCTAAACACCATACATATTAAATAGTTCACTGAAGTTTAACTGTTGCCCTAATTTTTCACGAGAAGTCTAGACTCTGTGTAGGTCATGGTTTAATGTGATGGAAGTTCTTGTTATTACACAGGCAGAATTCTCACCTTAACTGCAATGGGACACTTCTCTGAGGAGTCCTGGTTCTCCAGAAATTTTGACTATGTTTATTTTATGGCTGAAAATTTTAAGTGTGATCAGGTTTCACTTTCCCTGCCTGCCAGATAGTCATAAATGTCAACCAGGGAATGTATTTTTCTTAGATTCAAAATTCATTTTATATTCTGTTCTTTATTTTCCCTCCTAATTTTCTCTTGATTTCCTCTCTTAAATTTTATGTATTCCCATAAATAGTTTCCTTTCATTTTTCAAATCAGGCAGAGAAATTCATAAACAAATAATTACTAAGTGAACTATTTCAAAGATTCAAATTTCTTTCCTAAATGGACTGCCAGGCACTTGTGTAAATGTAATTTTCAGGGTTTATAAAGATCTGTCATCTGGCGAAGCATTATTGTTTTAGTTTTTCCTCTGGATTCTTTTTGACTACAGAATATTTCATATTCTGGAAAAAGCACAATTGTCCCTGGGACAAATGTCCTACTGGAAATCCTTCCCAGAGTTTATCAGGAAGACTTGTGAGATGGCTCGATATGTGAACACACAAGGAAGTTTCCAGAACAATCTGTCAGGTAAGTCAGTGGTCTTAACGGCAGGAGTGTGAGGTATTTTCCACTGAAGGGGTGGTAAGATGACTTAATGAAAGATTATCATACTTCCGGCGGGGAGCTTAAAATGGAAGGCTGTTTCAGTACAGTTTGTCCTTATGATGCCTGGGTTCAGTTTGTTCCTATCCTGGCCAGGATATCCTAGCACTGTTTCTAATAATGACGCACATTGCTGTCAGGATTGCCCTGTTTCAGAGGAACATTATGCATACTGACTAATCATGACCCCGCTCTCACAGTAGTCCTGCTCAACTTCCTGTGGGGCCCGCTCTCTGGATTGAGCACTAAGTCCATCCTTCACATCAGGAACATCTCAGGCTGAGCAGGCTCCTGTGTAGGAACAGTCTTCCTCCACACTCGTACTCAACACTTCTGATTTCTATCACCAAATGTGTGGGGCTTTTTCCACACCAGGCAGTTTTTTCTAGTTCTCCTTGGATACCAATTGGGTGTCCTGCGATTCACTTCAATTCTGACACCATCTGCCCAGAGATCATGTCAGATTCTCCTTGAAGGCTGTGGAAACCCCACAAGGTGGTCCTCATGTTAGATGACAGCCCACATCTGGGTCACACTGAAGAATGAGTAGAATTTGACAGGCAGGAACTGAGAGATGAATGTTGAGATATTTGCTTGGTATAGTTTCTTCAGTCACATCAGAGATGAGAATCGTTCCATATGAAAAATTTAAATAGTACGGCTTTGAGTAATGAGCATATTATAAACCAATTTTGATGTCATTTGGTGAGAGGGTTGCTGATCCTAGGGCCAGATAAATAACAGCAGGCCGATCAGCAGACTGTGGGTTCCCTTTTTTTTTTTGGCCTGGGTTACCTGCACTGTTCCCACCTGATTCGCTTATATCCTTGCTATGGTTTTTTTGTTTGTTTGTTTCATTTTTTTGGTATGGGGGATCGAACTCCGGTCCTTCCATTTGCACAGCAGGTGGCAGAACCACTGAGCTAAATCCCTGGCCCAATCCTTGCTATGTTAAGTGTGGTCTTTGGGTCAACAGCACAAGTAACATTTAGGATTCTTTTAGAAATGCAAAACTGTGGCTCCACCTCAGATCTCGTAAATCAGAATATGCATTTCAAGAAGACTCCCAGGTGATCTGTAAGCACATGGAAATATGAGAAGCTGTGGCTTCATAAATAATACAGTAAGCCTGTCACACATGTGTTTTTAGCTAAATTATCCTTATTTCCTCTTTCTCCTTTAAAAGCAAAACAAAAGCTACTGTGCACTGTAACAGTGTGGTATAATTGAAACACCAAGTATTCTGTTGTAATTACTTTTAGTTATTTAAATTTATGGAGTACAGTTTATCGTGCAGATAAAACATGGTCGCAGGTTAGTATTTTGGCATGGGTTTTGTGAGCAGATGGACTTTGGGCCAATCATTACATCTGACAGATTTTTTTGAGTAGGCTAGCTTATCATTTTTATCCTTGACAAAATAATTTTGCAAGCACTGTACAACTGAGTTACATCCTCGTCCCTTTAAAAAAGATTTTAGACAGGGTCTCACTAAATTGCTTAGGCTGGCTTTGAACTTTCTATCCTACTTCTTGAGTATCCCAAATTGCTGGGATTAAAATCTTGTATAGCTTATTTTACTGGGTTCTTGTGAAGATTAAATAAGATAATATATGTAAAACGCTGAACATAGTTTTATAGGCAGATAGATATTAGCTCCCTTTCTTTGCCCATTGGAATGAGTATCAGAATTATAAAGCATCATAAAAAAAGTGCAGGATTTTTTTCTACTTTTGTGTAAAAAGATCTTTGATACCGCCTGGTTTTCTGGTAGCACTAAACTTTTCCTTATCTGATGTTGCACATTTCTGTGCTACTTTTCTAGATTCTTTCCATCTCTTTTTCCTGTAAACATTCCTAAAATTTTAGATATGCTATCCAGTCTACTTCAGTGGAAACTCAGTGAGGTATTATGTAATTTTACTTACAAAATGGATACTAAAGAGATGAAATGTTTCACCTCAACTGAGGATTTTTGTCTTAAAAACAGATTGATTGAAATGTAATTGACATACCAATAAAGCACATTTAATGAAACTCATCACAGACAAGATAGCATCTCTGTCATTCTCCAGACCTCCTCCTGTCCTTTGGGATCGTCAATTCTAGCACCTGCCCTGTCCCTAGCAACCACTGCTCTGTCACTGTACTTGAGTTTTCACTTTCTTGAAATGATTTTCAGCATCTGTTTTTCACATGGTTGTATGCCACCTGTCTATCTTTGTTCATGAGTTGTGCTGCTCAAGTGTTTAAAAGTTGTTTGGTTATGACTTAGTTTGAAAGTTCTTTATACATCCAGGATACAAGCTTTTTGTGAATATTTTTTTTCCTGGTCTTTGGATTGTGTTTTCATTTTTCTTAACTTTATCATTCAGGAGGAGAAGTTTTAAATTTTAAGGAAATTGTACTTAACTTTTAAAAAATAGATTATGCTTTTGATGTTGTAGCAAGGAAGTCTTTGCTACAACCTCTCTAAATCACAAAGATTTTTTTGCCTCCATTTTCTTCTGGTTTAATACCTTAAGTTTTAAATCTAGGTCTGTGATCCATTTTGAATTAATTTTTGTATATGATGTGGGCACATATTTAAGTTAATTATCATTTTGCATATAGGTATCCAATTGTTCCACAAAATTTGTTCTAAACACTATCATTTCTCCACTACATTATTTTTGTATAGTTATCTACGTTTATGGACTCTGCTGTTCCATTGACTTATTTGCCTATCTACACCAACATTGCATTACCTTGATTACCATAGCTTTATAGTAAATCTTAAAGTCAGATAATGCTACTCTTCTGCCTTTGTTCTTTAAAAATTTGGTCCTTTAAGCTATTTCAGATCATTTGCTTTTCCATATTAGTCTTAGAATCTGCTTGTGATTTCTGAAAAATTTGCTGTAATTTTAACCAGGATTGAATTGAAACTATAGATTAATTTTGGGAATATTGGCTTTTTGTCTGTTTTGATTCTTCTGCTCTATGAACATGGTATACCTCTCCATTGATTATGTCTTTTATTTTCTTGCTCATTTCTTGTAGTCGCCATTGTAAAAGTTTCACATATTTTGTTAGATTTATCCTTAAGAATTTAATATTTTAATACTATTAAAAATTGTGTGACTTTAAAAAGTTTCAATCTTTAGTAGTCTGTTTTTGATTTTTGCATATTCTTGCATCTTGTAAAATGTGCTCAATTTACTTTTTAGTTAGCTTTATTATAGATTTCATCAGATTTTCCAATAGAAATGGTAAAGTGAAAATATCTTTATGTTGTGATTGTTGGGAGCAGACAGGGAGCATTGAGTCTTTTACCATTGAGTCCAATGCCAGCTATAGGTTTTTCATAGACAGCTTTTATGAGGATGAACAAGGTTTCTTTTATTCCTAGTTTGCAAAGAGTTTCTTAAAGCCAGGAATGGATGTCAAATTTTATTAGATATTTTACTGCATATATTGAGAGAATTATATAGTTTTTTTTGTTTTAAATTATATTTGGTGAATTAGATTGATTGTTTTTGAATGTTGTCAATCTTACATAACTAGGGTAACTCCCACTTGAAGAAAGATGTGTTACCCTTTTATATATTATTGTATCCAATGTATTAACATTTTGTATCTATACTTATTAGGGATATTGGTCTATGGTTTTCTTTTCCTCTATGATTTTTGTCTTAGTTTGGTATCAGGGTAATCTTAGCTTCATAGAATGAGATGAGAAGAATTCACTCTTTTTCTGGGAGAATTTGTGTATAATTCATATTATTGTTTACTAACGAAGTCATCTGGACTTTCAGTCTTTCTTGGGGGAAGATATTTCAGTAATGCATCACTTAATGACAGGAATATGTTCTGAGAAATGTGTCATTAGGTGACCATGTCCCAGTGCCACACCATCGTGTGTGCTTACTCAAACGAGGCTGTGTGGTATGCACTATTGACCGTGTTGCCCACCTGACCTGGCACCATGTGATGCATGGCTGTGATTGCATGCCAGTTTCTTCAGTGGACATAGGGCTGTTAAGCTATTCATTTCTTCTTGTATGAGGGTTGGTAGTTGATGTCATTTAAGGTATTTATCTCTTTAATCTACATTGTCCAACTTAGTTTTATAAAGCTTTAAAGTAATATTTTATTATTATTATTTAAACATACATACAATCTATCTCCATAGAGACATATCAAAGTTATTGATGTTTTTGAAAGAATAGGCCTTTGGTTTTAATGCTTTTTCCCTACTGTTTTTCCTTTTCCTATTTCCTTCATTTCTTCTCTGATTTTCATTATTTCTTTCTTCTATTTACTTTGGGTTTCACTCTTCACTTCTAATTTCTTGACATGGAGGCTGAGGTCATCAGGCTCTGGCTTTTAAGATGTTAGGGAGTGTTGGTGATGTGCTCATCTGCTTGTAAATGTTACCCAGGAATGATGAAAAACTTTGTGCATATTCTACATGACGGTTAATAAATTTAAAATTGTTCCAGCATGGCCATGGAAATAGAATGGACTTCTGGTCTTGGTGATCACTAAGCACTGTAACCTTTGGTCTTTCTTGGGATGGAAATGCCCAGTCTCAGCCAGTTTCCTCTAGGCACGGGTCAGTTTGTTCTCAGCTGATTGCTTGAGGGAGGCACGCGCCGGCCTCTTGCTGCGGGCAGCCCTCAAGGTCTCTGGTCCTGAGCACTCTGGCTGCCTTTGCAACTCTCAGCTGCATCGCCTTAGTCTCTGGGCTCCAGATCGCTTCTTCCTTCTTGTGCCACGACCTGAGCTCACACGGAGGGCCCCAGCAGGATCTTTTAGGTCTCACCTTGTTTTCTTTCTGTCTTTCATGGCTCAGTGTTGTCCATTCCTCAGAGGGTAGTGGCACTTCCTCTTGGCCAGAAACAGGCTTGAATCAAGAATTAGAGAAACAGCTCTAGCACTTCCCACTTGACAAGATGTCTGTTATGCCTAATTTGATGTCAATATATTTCTGTTTAGCTCTCTCTGAGGACTCCCCTTGTTATGCAGAAAACATGGATTGGAAAATCATCAGTGATAATTATTTTGCCTTTTTGAATAATTTACTGACATCTCCAATAACGTCCACATCCAGGTAAGTTATTAGAATTCAGCTTCCAGGTCTTAATTTACCTATCATCTGAGGATAAGCAAAGCCTTCTTTAATATTTATGAGCTTGATTTAGACATTGACACAATGTTCCATATTAGGTGCCAAATTATTGTTTATAAAATGTATAACTCAAGTTTCCAAGGGCTATGAAAGGAAATATAGATTGTATAGTAATAAGATTTTTCTTCAGTAGCAATGTGATTAATAGTAGACACTCAAACCCAAGCATTTCTTTGAGAAGTAGTGTCATCTAGTTGCTTAAAGTGTAGACAAGAGATCAGTGATTTGGACTCTGGTAGTTCTGAGGCTTTGGGTCCAGAAGTGATCTCTGAAAGTAAATATACCAGGTTACTTCCACTTGGCTATTTCAGCATGTTTTGAGAGGGGGTTTTGTAAATGATTATGGATATTGTGCCTAGTTTAAAAGCATGTTACTGTTTGTGGGCTGTGTTCGAACTTGAAGGGACCGGAGATTTACATCAGAGCAGGGGACTCTTACCTGTGAGTGGATCAGAGTTAACTGTGAAGTTCTCTGAAAACACAGATGTTGTACTTTACCCCAGACACACTAAATCTTACACTGTGTGTACAATTTGGGTTTCTGCATATTTACCAATCCCGTAGATGGTTCTGGTGTACACCGAGTTGGAGAACCATTCTATGACATGTATCTAAAACCTGAGATTCATCAACTGGGGAGACTGAGCCTTGCTTGAAGTGGGTACACAAGAAAGGCCAGGGAGGTGGACTCCCTGGGAGTTGGTTCCCTGCTCATGTCAGATTTATATTTCCTTACTTTCCTGAAAGTCTCAAACATCTAATAGCTCCCGAGAAACAGCAGCTAAAGCAGTGTCAATGTACCAAGGACATGTTGAATATTATATCTAGAGACCCATCAAGGTCATATAGTGCATTGTGAAAGATGGTAGAGAATTAGATGTTGCTGTAAGAAAGGAAAACATATTAGAGACAAAGTACAGTTAATATTAGGAAGCTGAATTCAAAATGAAAAGACATGGGTCATGTCCCATTTGTGTCACCTGCTAACAGTGTGACTCTGTTAATTAAAACATGGACCTATTTCTTTTTCCATGAAGTGGATATAATGCTGTGGACCTCAGCAGGCGGTCGTAAGAACAGACTGGTACTGTACCTGTGCAAGGGCTTGATAAACGGTGAAGCAAGTTGACATGTGTAATGCTGCTACTATTGGTCCTGACTCCCACGTCAGGATTATTGTGCTATAGCAGCTCTGTATCCTTCTCAGTACACTTGTCAGTACACTGACATACCTGAGCATTCTCTCCTATGATGCATGGTCTCTTGCATGGTGGTTATTTCTGTGCAGACTGGATTTGGCCTAGGTTTATACTGAATCCCTAACAACACAACTTTCTCTTTACTGATGGGAATTTTTTTCAGAAATTGCTTCAAAATAACCATTCTCTTTCCTACAAATAACAATTAACTAAATTAAACCCATATTTTTGTGTGTGTGTGTTTGCTCTGATTTCAGCTGTTAGGAAAAGATTATTAGTGCATTTTATCTTTTCTATGCCTACTTTGTGCCAGAGAGTGCAGAGTTGGAGAAAAGAGTCCTCCCTTCCAGGCACAAACACGAGGAAAAGGCTGAACAGCCTTACCCACAATTCCAGGCTCCCAGGAAGTTGGCAGTAGAAGCTGTGGTTCTGGGTGGCATCACAGCCTTGCAGCAGCGTTGTGGCCTGAACCCATGTGAAGCTGGTCTGAGTCTGGTGACCCTATCTGGGGAGACAGTGTAGAAGTGGCACTGCTGAAGGGTTAGTGTGTTAGAGGTGAACCATGGAAACTTCCTGAAGTCTGAACATTCTTGGAACACCAAGGATTTTCAAAGTGGCTGTGACTTCTGAGTTAGAAGTTAGTTCTATAAGAGGGGACTGGCCATAAACTCTGAGTTGCCATTCTGAAAAACTGTTTACATTTTAAAAGGAAACACCTGGAGAGAAAGCCCACCTTCTACTGCAAAGGGGCACTAGTGTTGCTGCTGAAACCGGGAGTCCCAACCTGTCCTTTAAATGGCTGGTACTGTGTCCGAGGCCTCCACTTTTTGGACTTCCTTGATAGCCCAAGATATTTTGAAATGAAATATGAAAATGAATCTTAAGATTCTTCCTGCAGAAATAGTGAACTTATCTTTAGCAATGAACATTCTTTGTATGTGAATTCACAGGAGCAAAAAAATTTAGAATGTGTTTTTTTCTGATTGTAAGGAATATATTTTAAACTAACTATATACAGCTGCATTTTGGATTTCTAAAACACTTTCAAATGCTCACAATAGTTTAATGTCTGTCGAGAAATGTACTATCTAGTAAATGTTTCATTTAGGTTTATTGCACATTATTACTATCTTAGCAAGTGAGTATGCTGAATTTATTTTTCTTTCTGATACTAAAACTATTCTATTATTGTTGTAGGGCCTTCAACTCCACAAAGTACCTTCTAGTGATGGAAAAGAAGTGGCATGCTCATGACGATGAAGAGTTGAACTTTCTTTTATCATTTGTGGAGTTTTTGGAGAAGTTATTATTGCCTAATCCTTTTGAATCATCTAGTGCTCATGAATTCCATAACCTCCCCTCTCTTATTGAGAATTTTCTGAATGCAAGTGTTTTGTGGGTAAACTATTTAAAAAGTTTAGGGAGAAACTCATCGACAGTTGATGCTCAGAAACTTCTGGAATTTGGCCAAATGGTGATTGAAAAAATGCAAACTCACGAAAGTCACTGGATGAAGAAGGCATACCAAAATGCTTTGAGAGTCATGGAATTAATACTTTTCAAAATTAATCCCAAGTTGCTAGAATTATGGCACTATGGCGTTTCAGAAGGAGAAAGAGCTAAGTTAGAAACCTTGTCTACATTTCTAAATTTTTCTGTTCCAGAAAATGAGAAGATTCTGAGTAAGAATTTTAACTTTTCCCAGTTGTTCCATTCAGACTGGCCTGAGTCACCACCTGTGAACATGGATTTTGTACATTTAAGCAAAACTATAATAAGTAGTCTGTATGAGTTTGGCTTTCTTACACAGGGAGAAATCTCAGAAGCCCTGGACGCAGTGTATGCTATCAGAAATGCATCTGGTCTTTTCTTGGCCCTCTCTGAACTTCAAAAACAAGAAATTGATAAAATTTTGACTCATGTCTATCTACATGTCTTCAAAGACAAGGATTCTGCTTTACTTCTGCAAATTTATTCTTCATTTTACCAATATATTTACAAATTCTTGAGCCTTCAGAATAGGGAGCCGTTGCTAACTTACCTCACCCAAATCTCACGGCACATTTTGGACATTGTAAAGCAGTTTAATTTCCAAGACATCAGGAAAGCATTTGCATCTTTGTCTGGGACTGCTGGGGCTCTTGGGGGAATTTCTGAAGAATCTTACTGTCAGCAGTTGCTTTCACTTTTTAATTTTTTGGAGCTTCAAGCCCAATCCCTGATGTCTACAGAGGACCAAGAATTGGAAGTGATCCATGCTACTTTGACAGGCCTCAAACAGCTGCTGATAGTAGATGAAGATTTTCGCGTTTCATTATTTCAGTACATGAGCCAACTCTTCAATGGTTCAGGGGACGGACTGTGGGGGAGTGACTGCTTTGTTTTGGATAATAAAACTATTTCTTCTGCAAACCGTTCAACATTTGAGGGGCCTTCACTTATCCTCCCATGGGCACAAATATTCTCAACCCTGTCACCAAATGTCAGTGAGTTTACAGCCATTCACTGTACCGTTTCATGGCTTCAAATGTGGACTGAAATCTGGGAAAGCATCTCCCACATATTTAAGTTTGAGAAGAATGTTTTCACTTCTCTTCATGTTGGTCTCACTGAACTTCTGGGTGAATTGGAAAATGATATGAAAATTTCTAAAAGCTGCCAAGGACTACTTCCCACCCATCATGCTGCTAGACTCATATTAAATTTGTTTAAAAATGTAACCTGTGCTGATGGCCTCCACATTGGGGATGGTTTCCTGGACGTTAGGGATCTTTGGGTGGCATTAGGTGACGCATTAGTTACAGTAAAATCACTGAACTTGGAGCAAGTAGAGAGATCTCTTTCTACCATGGAAGCTGCCCTGCATCAGCTAAAGACATTCCCACTGGACACGAACACAAGCCGAGAGTTTTTATATTCTCTGCTTGATGTTTTCAGTGAGTTAAGCAATACATCAGAATATCTAGGTAGAAATGCAGAGCTGATAAATCACTTTCTTTCAAACAATCTCACACATTATGGAACGAAGTTTGAGAGAGTCATCACTGAGTTCAGAGAAACAATATCACTTCTTAGACACCTGTCACACAATGGAGATTTATTGTCCTGTGCTGGTGTATTCCAAAATGTTACCGAGTTGATTTTAGAAGGTGGTTTATTACATGCAAATGCTTCCCAGAGGATGGTGCATATTCTGGCCGTGTTAAATTCCACATTTTCCTCTGAGAACACAGTGAGCAGCCTGAGAGGATGCGTTGGATGGGTAGATGTCATAAACCATCTATACTCGATGTGTAATTCAAGTTTTTCACAGGGTCTCTTTCCCAATATTTTTGGGAGTTTCCCAGATATAGAAAACAAAATGAACGCTACGTTGAAAATTGTAACTTGGGCATTAAATAGAATGAAACCCCTTTGTTCTTTGAATGAACCAAATATAAACTGTGTAAATATTTATTTGAAAGACATGACTGACTTTCTAAACACTATTTTTACTACAGTCTTTGAAAAAGAAAAGGTACCAAAATTTGAGATTTTATTAGCTCTTTTAAATGATTCTACAAACCAAGTGAGAATGATTATCAAGAACTTAACAAGAGCCTTTGATTCTGCCTCCCAATCTAACTGGAAAAATTTGCTTGGATTATTTCTTAGACCCATAGAAGTGTCAGATGAAATTCCTAACCCTTTTCAGAATGTTTGGCTGCATTTAATAGCACTGGGGAAAGAAATTCAAAAACTTATGCAAGACATTTCCCCTATCATACTGGAAAATATTCCTTCTACAACTGAAAAAGTCTTAAGTATATTTGCCACCATCATAAAGGAAAAGGACATAAACCATTTAGGCAAGTCGGTTTATCATTTTGCTAATCACTTTGCCCTCATCTTATCTCATAGGCTCCAAAATTCATCAGAGATTGTTCCAAATGAAATAAGGACAGCAGTGGGTCTTGGGATTCAACTGGTAAGGGATGTGTTCAACTCTTTAATGCCCACAGTTCAGCACAGTATTCCAGAAGGTACACGTCATGTTCAAGTTTTGAAGCAAGTGTCTCCTCTTATGCGCAGTCTCAGGAGAGCAGACATAGATCTCTTAGTAGAGCAGCTGGAACAGATTAGTGAAGGCCTGGTGGATTTCTTTAGGAATCTCAGTAGACTAGGCACTGATGATGTAGGGGTTGACTTGCTTGTTGGCTTGATGGAAAAGTTGACAGACAGCTCAAGTTCTTGGAATGTTCACCTGCTCCTGCGGCTCTCCCGCCTCTTCCCCAGAGAGGACGTGAACCTGGTGGTACACGTGTACCATGCTCTTCCTCATGTTGCACGGCTTCTGGAGAGAGTAGCTGATAAAAACCTCACGGAGGGCCTCAAGGATATCCATGACTTCATGCTCCTTCACGGCATCAGCATTGCCAACATCTCCAAGGAGGACTTTGCCATTGTGATCAAAACTCTGTTGGACACCATCGAACAAATATCAGACCAACCCGCTCTTGTGCCAGAGGCTTTAACATGCCTTCCTGTGCTTTGGTGTAGGACTCATGCAGCTCCTGGATTTCTGCAGAACCCCGAGTTAGCAGGCTGTGGTGTGCAGGGGCGCATGTCTTCTTCCTTTTATGGCAAAGTGGCCAGCATACTGGACCGTCTCCACCTGTCTCACCCAGGGGAGCATTCACAGTGTTCAAAGGAAAGTTCCCGTATGGAAATGTCAAGAAAAGCAGTCTGTGTAATTCATGAGCTAGCAGACTGGAATTCCATTCTTCTGGAGCTGTCTGAAGTCTTCCACCTTAAGACTTCGCTGCTGAAAACTGTGCAGGAATTTTGGGACAAAGTGTTACCCTTTGTCCCACCTTCTGGAAATCAGAGTCATGGCAGCAGCCCTGAATTCTGTGCTGGTGGTCCTATTAAGCAAGTTGCTTTGCAGATCATAGAACATCTAACAAAGGTCAACTTTACAAAAGTGACTTCTGGTAAGAACATTCTTGACAAGGTGGTTAGATTAAACAAGATTCTTAAGATTGTCGAAGGTACACAGACTGCTGTTGAAAATAATATTTCCCTGCATCTGGAAAGGATGATCAAGTCAATTTCTGGACACTGGAACCTAGAAAACAGAACTCATTATCCACTTTCTCCATTCATGAGTCTTCCGATTGCAAATCATACAGGTAATAGCTTAGAAGCATTAGCAAGTTTTCTTAAGCTAAGTGAAGTAACTGATAACTTTGAAGAACTGTGGCTGGACTTCAAACAAACCATGGAAAACCTGACACATGCCATTAATATCAGGCACCTTTTGTCTGAAACTAACAAAGAAATCCAAAGTATAAATTCAGTGGCCCTTCAAAACACAACTTTACCGCTTTCCTATTTTCTAGAGATCCTCAATTCATCATCATTGAAGATGTTGGAAGCTATCGAAGCTTTTCTTCTGGTCACAAAAAACTGGCTTCATGAATATGCAAAGGAAGATTACTCCAGATTGATACAAACATTATTTGTTCCTGCATCCAATGAGAGTTCAAGTGACAATATGACTGTGTTGATTAAAGATATTGTTACCTTTTTAGACTATCTAAAAAACATTTCTAGAGAAAACAATTTTGATGTTGCCTTTCTTTCTCCCCTGCTACATGGAGAACAGCTGGTTAATTTCTCACTCATTCAGTGGGTTCTTGAAAACATTCTGATTAATTCCATCAATAACAGAGCTGGCCGTTCTCAGGAAGCAGGCCTGAGTTTAAATGATGCTGACCTTCACATAACGAATCTCATTAACCTCACCTTGAACCACACATGGTCAGGAAAGGGTGGGAAAACAGTTCTTTCTCCAAGACAGACAGTGGATTTTGTGGATCAGCTTCTGAAAACATTCCTTTCCCTTCTCCTAAAGGAAAATTCTGACAACAAAATATCTCTTCTGCTTAAAGACTTGCATGAAGAGTCTGCAGGGATGAGGTGAGTTTACTTTGGCTTTATTTAGGACATGAAGTTATCATATATCTCAAACCATTTTATTTTTTGAAGTATAGAAATGTCAAAAAGATAGCACTTGCCCCTAATACCTTTAAATTCTCTTTGAAATGAATTTGTCTTCATGAGCATTTTGTAGAAATATCAAGGTAAAATAATTTTGGTATTATCATTTAACAAGTAAACATTTCAATCTAGCGTGTGATAAGGAATCACATATTTTTTCATTTTTAGATTATGAAAACAGGGATGAAATTGTTTTCTATAGAATTTAAAAATTAATTTTTATGGAAGTACATTGGTACCTCGGTTCACAACCGTAATTCTTTCCGCAATTCTGGTCGCAAACCAAATTGGTTGCGAACCAAATCAAATTCATTGGTTAGGTTCCGTGTTGACCTTATTGGTAAATTTGATTTGGTTCCTGACCATTTGGGTTTGCAACCAGAATCTTGGAAAGAATTAAGTTTGTGAACTAAGGTACCATTGTATTCACAAATACAGCCCAGTAATTTAAATTGCTGCATTAAACATGGAGGGCTTTAATGTTTTCAGTCCACTTAACCTACTGCGATATTTTTATTTAGAAACATTAAAATTAACCGTCACTCTCTTTATTCATGTATCTTGTGAAATGTCCTAGGGTCTTACTAGTGAAAATGCTAAGGGGAACTGCAGCCTGTCCTGTGTTGTGTCAGGGGGGCCCCAGCATGCTGAGACCTCGTTGACAGGGTCAGGCTCTGTGATTTGGAGGCTGGGTAAGCAAGCCACAGTCAGTAGGGCCAGCCACCAGGAGGGACGGTCCCGGCAGGCAGGGACACCAGGAGGGTGCAGTGAACCTCAGGAAGGAAACCCCAGGAAGAGTAAGCCCAGCTGCTGTTGGCTCTGCAGGGCCAGGAGTCCCATGCTCTCTTTTACAGCCTAGCAGCTGATGTGTCAGGTGCCCAGGCCACTGTCCCTTCTGACTTCCTTGCAATTAACTGCTTAGGGGCTTTAATCACAGCTGCAAAATCTCTTTGCAACAACACTTAGATTCATGTTGAATTGAGTGGCTGGTAGGCATATTTATGCTACAAAATGGTTTCCAACTCCCATCTATCCTGCAACTCTTCCTTGTAGCCCCGAAACCGGAGCCCCCTGAGAGAGGGCCTGCTGAGCTGCTGTCACCTAGCCAAGCTGGCTCAGCACAGAGCCTTCACGTATCTAGTGATCTGGTAAAACTTCTCAAACCAGAAGAAGTGTAAATAGGCTTCCCATATTTCCAGGTTTCTCTCTTCTACCAAGAATCACTTTGTAGTCATTTCACCTCTTGCCTCCTCACTCCTTTCCCCTTTTCCTTGTTTCTTTCCTTTCTTTTCGATACTGGACATTGAACCTGGGGTCTTCACACTGAGCTACTTCCCCAAACCTTTTGTATTTTTATTTCTTATCTTGAGACACGATCTCGCTAAATCACCCAGGCTGGGCTCAAGCTTGCAATTGTCCTACCTCAGCCTCCCAGGGTGCTGGGATTACAGGCATGTGCTAACCATACCTGGCTATTTCACCTCTTTTCTAGAACCAAGTATATAGCTTTTCACATTGTTAGGTTCAAAGAATTGTGGTAGAAATGTCCATAAAATTTCTCTGCTCTTTTCATTGTTTGGGCAACAATAAAATTAAACTTCACTTGGAATTATTCTAGCTTGTTATCTTTTGCTCAACATTACTCTCCCATGACACCACAGTGAAAGAAAATCATCACATACTGTAATCTTTCCATTGGTAATGTATGAAACATTAATGTCCACGTTTACAGTTCTGTCTTCATGGATAAACTTCTAGAAGCTCTGAAGCTGGATCAGTTTCTGACCTGGAGGAGTGAAGACAGATGGATGAGTGTGTTCTCAAGCTTAGAGGAGGCCGTGTTTCATCTGGTCAGAAGCTCCTTCTGGACAGACGGGGGGGAACTCTCTTTTGATAGCCCTGGAGGGCTGGAGTTCATGTGCGATGCAGTCCTTGGCCTTCTGAGGGAGGCCTCAGAGGAGAATAAGCCTGCTGGTGGTCAGGACTTCCCAGGGAGGGTAAGTCAGGTGCTTCTCCACGTGAACAGCTCTGCAGATCTTGTCCAGCTCCACCGGGACCTTAGGTCAGTTGTTTACCTTGTGAGAGAAAGTTCCGCAGAGATGGCGAATCTCGTGAACACTCTGTTAACCTCTCCCGACGACTTCCATAACTTGTATCCTGTACTCCAAGAAGTTATACTTGCTAACCTGACTGTCTTGCTTTCCTTCGCGAATAACTCATTCCCTCTACGAAACCGAGAAGCATTAGAAATCACTAAGATGTTGCTCAGTGTCATTTCCGGTACTGGGGCAGAAGATCATGTTGTGGAACCCCTCGTAGAAATATCTCGCACTCTGGCCACATTGCTAGATGACAGTGCTGGGCTGAAAGAGCTGGCCACCACAGTAGACTCCTTTGTGAAACTCCTCCAGCTGGCCAAGAAAGCTTCGGAGAAGATGACCACGATTCTTGAAACTCATTTCATCTCCCATAGCAAAGAGAGCAGCAAATTCTTTGACACTCTCTATTTTAGCATGCAACAAAGAGTTCAGCGTCTTGTGAAGGAAATTGCTACTTTCGAAAAAGATCATTTTGTATTGAAAAACATAAATGATTTGTTGCTGCCATTTCTTGACCTCGTCTTTGGAATGACTGGGGTGAAACCTAGTGTTTCCTGGGACTCTGATAATTCCAGTCTGTCATCTAGCCTGCTTGCAGATGTGAGCCAATCCAAGGACTTTACTGAGATTTTGGAAGAAATGGCTCAATTTTTAACTTCTGTGAAATTTAATTTGGGAGACTTGGAGCGCCTTGTGGTGGCACTTAATAATGGGACTCAAATATTTTCTATGGATTCTGTCAACGTATGGGAGGAAATTCTGGGTTGCTTAGTTCCGATAAATTACATCACCAAACAAATAAACTTCTTACACTCAAATCCTCTTTCCACTCATAGTGGTGCTCAAGATACCAAATGGGAAAGAATTGACGAAATGATTCCTTGTTTGGATAAAATGCTAACAGAAAACAGCACGGAAATGGGAGCTTCCATGAAAATGTTGATTGATCTCATTGTAGACACTTTCTGGGATAGCTTAAAGAAGAGCCCTGGTGATGTTTTAAACCTGCTGCTGACAGCTGGTCAGCTTCCACGTGACCTGCTAGAAACCATAGCCACAGTTTTGGAGGCTTCTCATGGAGCTCGAAGTGATGGCGGAGCTGATTTAAGGAAAGCTTTATTTTTCAACGTGTCCTTGATTCAGAATATAACTGATCATCAACTTGAAAAAGCAATCCAGATCATGCTACCTAGAATCGCACTCTTGAGCCTCCTCCCAAACAACTCTCAGTGGATAAATTCTTTGCGTACTTTGTTGTGGCCAGTTTCTGAGATTTTCATTAATGCAGCCACCCGGAAGAATGTCACATCTGCACAAGAGGCGAGGACCAGGAGCGAGACGATGAGTTTCCCTTATAGCTTCCACCCATCATCGAGTTTCAAGAAATACCTGAAGCGGTTAATAGTATTGATTGAAAACTGGCAAAAAGTCCTGCTGACAGATGAAAGGTAATCAAACACCTCATCCACGTCCTTTTTCCTTCTCAGTGGCCACTCAGGAAGTGGGTGGATCCAGGGTTAGTCGTTCTTGATTTTGGCCTACATTACATTCTGGGGTTGACTTTCACATGGACTGATCGGTGTCCAGTCTTGTCTTTTCAAATCAGAGCAATTAGCCTATCCATCCCATCACCATTTCTTTGGGGTGAGGTTGTGCGCAAGCCCCTCCTCCAGATATTTTGAGATGTGCATCACTGTAACCTAGTTGCCCTCCTGAGCCATAGCACACTGGAGCTCCTGACTCCTGTCTGACTGGGACTTGGTACTGCTGATTGACCTCTCCCACTCTTCTCTCCTGCTCTCTCCTGGCCTCTGCTAAGCGTTGTCCCACTCGACCCTGTGAGGTCAGCTTTGTCACATTCCGCCCATGAGTGAGATGTGCCGTTTGTCTTTCTGTCCCTGACTGCCTTCACCAAACACAGCGCCCCCGGTCCATCCACACTGCCACAGAGAGCGGATTCCATCCTCTGCAGCTGGCATCCCGTTTTGAGACCTTTAATGGTTTACCAAGGCAATGGAGCAAGAAAAGAGCAAATTCAGGCAGATCAGCAGCAAAATCAATGCCGTGAGATAAATTAGAAAGCAGAGGTTCCTGGAGGTCTAGATCTGGCCCCTGTGATTTCTTGTGTTTCTATAAAGCAGATTGGGCAGAGCAGGGTGGACAGCTCCTGCACGTGGGTGACCACATGGCCTCCCCTTGGTGGGTGGGTTGCAGAGGCTCTGGCCTTAACGCTTCGTCTGTTTTCCCCCAAGTGTTGTGGAGCTGTGCCAAGCCTTCCAGCAGCTGGAGGCGCCCTCGGAGGCCATGGCAACGCTACAGAGAGTGGAGCTGGTGGTACTTCGGGGGCTCACCATCCTCGCAGGTGGGCAGCAGTGCTTGAGAATTGCTCTGGGGCCCTTGTCAGGGCTTGGCTGTCAGAGCGCATGCGGAGTGGCCCCTGGGTTTCTTTCAGAACAAAGCATCATTTTCTTAGCCTGGCTTCCCGGCTCGGCCACATCTGGGCCACTCTTTCCAACTTTCCCGGGACCCTGCTGCAGCCAAGTCAGACCTTGTGCTGGGCCTTCTGGTCTCCTTTGCTCTTGGAATGTGCTTCCCTGTCCCTGTGCCCTGGGGCCTCCCATCCAAGATGGCCCCACTTCCTTTGCTGTAATGGGCCCATCAAAGGGCAGGTTGCCTGGTGGGGTAACTGGCTTTTTCCAGAGGGGAAGCATCAGGTTGTAGAGGACATGTGGTTCCATGGAGTGGGCCACTGCTGTCTTGGTCATTCCCACTGGTGCGCACATTGCCCCTCCCTCGGAGTCTTCTGAGCACCGTCCCCTGGGGCAGTGAGGGCTGAGGGCTGAGTTGGCTGCCTGGCAGGTACGGGAGAGGTGGAGAGGAGGAGGGCAGGACGCCCTGGTGCAGAGGGGAGCAGAGAAGGACTGGGGGTTGGCCCTGGCCCCACCCTTCCTTGAGTTCCCTCCATACCAGGAGCTCACTCTCTACCTGCCCTGATTTGTTATTAGATTATTTCGTTATTTTATCGCTGCTGTATCTGTGATCCTTCTTAGCTTAGGGTTATTTCTTTGACCTTCCGTGCCCGGGCTCCTCTCTTGGGTCCTGACCTCCCGTTTCCATCGCTAACCTGGGGTGCAGTTCTGAGCGTGTCCCCTTCTGGTCCATGATGACCGTGTCATTGGGATCAGCTCGCAGGAAGCGCTGGGTGAGTGTGAGTGTGGGGGTCAGTGCCAGGAGCCTCACGGGCTCATCCTGAGGTCCCCGGTTCCCGCCGGGGGAGACGCTGGACCGGCCTCCGTGTGCTCTGGGCTGCCTTTGTCCAGTTGGGCGCCATGTGGGGCCGGAGGGATGTCGGAAAGAGAAGAGTGTGCCTTGCAAGGGAGGGTCGCTGCGGTGTCCGCCTGGGGTCCACCCTGAGCAGGGGTCACTGCCCCGTGGGTGCCCTGGGGGCGGTACTGGGGGCTGGAGCGGCAGGGCAGTGTCAGCCTGGGAACAGCAGCTAGGAGACTGGAGCTGCAGGCAACGCGGTGCCAACACTGTGGCAAACAAGACACTCCTGGTGCCACCAGATGCCGAGAGGGAGCCCAGAGGAGAGGTGCAGGGTGGAGGAGACCTCGGGGCCGCATATCCGGGTGGGGCAGGCAGCTGAGCCCTGAGTGCAGCCCGGATGTGTCTGTGCACGCACCCTGTGCTTCCGCGGCTCCAGGAGAAACCCTGGTGTCGGCCAGGAGGCGCTGATCTGAGTGGAAGGGCCAGCGTGGGTGGGGCCCCCTCCTGGGAAAGGCTCACGGGAGAGTGGAGCGCCTGGAAGCTTTGTGTTCCCCAGTGTCCCCAGGGCAGATTCTCAGTCAGTGATGTGACAGGCGGCTGCTTTGAGAGCAGACGGGGTGCAGCGCCTGGTGCCGGCTGAGGGAGTCGTGGTCGAGGGTGGAACAGGCCAGGCTGTGACACCGGGGCTGCGAGGACCTGGCCTGCGTGGGTGCCCAGGGCCTCCAGTTGTCCTCCCCCGCTACAGGGCCTGCTGCTCACCTTGGAAGAGCCGGTCCCACGCCACTGACACCAGGGAGCGTCTTCTACAGCGTTAGATCCTGTTGCTCACGCAGCTCTGTTTACTAACCAGAACCCAAGAGCCCATCAGTGTTTGGGCTAAGAAACAAGAGAAAAGAGCTGCCGCCCCGTTGTCTGTCACGTGGGAGGTAGGGGCTTCCTGGAGTCCTCACATCTGGTGGGAGATGTTGAGAAGGTGGCGGTCCTGCCGATCACAGACCTGGGCCATCTGAGCACCGCTGCCCGGCCCACTGCGGGAGTGCGCTCAGGGGAGGCTCACCTCGAACTTCTTTCTCCTTCTTGAGTGCTTTTCTGGCACATTGAATGCAACCTGCCGAAGACGTAATTATTCTGACATTTCGCAGTCCCCTACGGTGTGGGGTTTAAGTGAATTAAACACTGAAAGATGCCTGAATTCATATTGGCTCACATCTTGCCATTTTGTATTGCAGCTGCTAAATTGATATAGCAAGTTATGTTAGGATCAGAAAATTAAAGTTCAGTTTTGATGTTGTGTTGCTGTATTTTATTTGAAGGAAACTCCGTGCCCTGGCTATCATTGAAACTGCCGGCCCACTTTCCTTGCCAGACTGCAGCTCCATGCTGCACAGACCTAGGGGAGGTAGAGGGCCAAGTAGTGGGGAAGACATGGGCGGAGTGGGCCCTGATGGCCAGGAGCAGAGCAAGGGGAAATCGTGGCACTCTTTCCTCTGCAGCCTCTGAGGTGGAGCTCAGTGTCTGCAGGAGAGAAGTTGTCGAAGTCCTTTTCTCCTCCGCTGGCTTTTAGTTTGGCCACAAGGTTGCATGAGAGCCAGCTGTGGTTCCCTGGGGACAGAGGGAGCTTGTGCCGGGGACATCCACTTTCATCTTCCCATCCCACAGATGGCGAGGGGGACGTGCTGAGAGCCAGTCGGGACCCAGGGTTTCGGAAGGAGGAAGGGTGGGGCACGGGCCGGGGGTCTGGACAGCGCAGGTGTCTCTCTGCCTCCTCTAGGTGGGGAGAGATGCTGGAGTGGCATCGAGGGCTGGCCCTGGGGCTTGGCAGGAGCTGAGTGAGGCCAAGGAGGGAGAAGCCTGGGAGGGGCTGGCACTGGGCTCCAACTGGGCTCAAGACCCTGACACTGCAGTGATGGCTGCGGGGCATCTGATGGGACAGACGAGGCCAGCGGCGTGGCAGCCTGACCTCCATCCTGGAACCACAGCACCAGGCTGAGCCTTGCAGATGCCAGGTGGGCCCCCATGGTGCCCACTCTTGGTGTAGATACAGGGCATGGAGGCCCATGCTGCTGCCCTCATGCTCTACAGCGGGAGCCTGCCTGGGCTCTCTGCTCTCCTGGGTCCCAGAGCCCAGCTTCTGTGCCCTTTATTTCACTTCCACAAGGCGGGGCGGTGCTCAAGGACAGGTGCTGCAGTATCTGCCTGCACTTGGTTCCCTTCCGTCCACGTTTCAACAAGAAGCTACTGAGAAGATGCCTTTCTCATTTTCTGTAATAAAACTGTCTTCAAGATTGGTGAAATATGATTAATGAGGAAAGCAAAGTAACACAGCAGGTTGGATGCCTCTGGAAAGCACGGCTTTAAGTATATCTTTTTGTTGTTTTTTTCTTCTTTTGTGAAATTATGCCAGTTTGCCATACACAATAAATACATTCGTCCTGTGGAGCTGGTACACATGTTTTGCATCTTGCTTTAGGTATATCGTATTGAATTCGCATTGTAGTTGCTCAAAACTTTTTTTTTAACCAATAAACTTTATTTTTTAAGAGCAGCCTTAGTTTTGCAGCAGCATTGAGCAGTAAATACCGATTCCCAACACCCTCCCACCCCCAAATTCCTGCCTCCCCTGGTACCACTACCGCCTTTCCCAGCAGAGTGGCCTTTGTCACGGTGGGTGGCCCACGGTGACAGTGTGCCTGCCGTGGGGTCACTTGGGGTGTCACGCAGTCTGGGGTTTGGATGGTTGCCTTGACACATGCCTGCCATCACAGGTCCCCACCAGTGACCCCTGGCTTTGTGCCTCGGTCCCTTCCTGCCCCCAACCCCTGGCAAGAGCTGATCTTTCACTTGGTGTCTGCCCACACTTTTAAAAGATGATTTCTGAGTATCGGGGTCATCATCTTTCAGGATCACAGTTTTTCACCAATTGAAAAAATTCAAAGGTCTCATTATTCACAGGAACACATTTAATTTTCTGCAAAGGCCAGGTGGCTAGAGACTGGGAGCTCAGTGCCAGGGGCAACAGAGTGGGGTGGTTCAGAGATGGGGGGCTTCTGAGAGCTGAGGGGCTCAGGAGAGAAGCTGGGAGCCCCTTGGGAGGGCAGGGCGGAGCAGGAGGCCTGAGTGCCAGTGCTGGGGGCTGCAGAAAAACTTTGGGCACCGTGGGGCCTCAGGCAGATTCCCGTGTCTACTTCTCCTTCGAGGAGGCGCTTGCGTGGGACCTGCAGTTTCCTGGGGCTGAGCTGGGTGGGCAGAGCCACTGGGGTATTGGGGAGCTGATGGAGAGGTTGGGTGCTCTGAAGACCAAGGCAGGGCGTCTTCCTGGCTTCCAGGTGTGGTTTGTGAGGCAGGGAGATGCCCACAGATAGACCTCGCATTTAATGCTTCCTTCCCACTGGCGGACTTTGGGAAGGAATGGAAGGTGGCACTGCTTACAACTATGCCAGGATAATACACAGAAACCAAGACTGTCCCGGGAAAACTGGGGTGAATGAGCACCCCTCCTCTAGAGGATATAGGAGGAGAGACCAGAAGGAAATTGCTTTCTATACAACCAATTCAGCTCAGAAAAAGTGAAGTCTTTAATTGCATTCAGAACCCAAAAGGCACAGCGGTGTTAATGGATAAAGAAAATAGGGCATGTGTACACAATGGAATATTGTTCAGCCTGGCGGTGGGAATCCTTTAGGAATTGGCAGTGTTCTGAATCTCCCAGCAGTGATTCTGTGAGTGTGGCTGGTTCTCATAGCCGCTGTTTCCTCTGCAGAAAGCCCCTCGCTGACGAAGGAGACTCTGTGTGCTGCCCTGAGCTGCAGGCGAGGCGGGGTGCAGCGGCTCATCCTGCCCGCTCTCCGGTGGGCCACACTGCTGCACGGCCTCTACCAGGTTTGTCAGCTTTTTCTTTCCTTTTGTTTCCTTTTCTTTTGAGACAGGGTCTTGCTATTTAGCCCAGGCTGGCCTCAACCTTGCGTCAATTCTCCTGCCTCAGCCTCCTGAGTGCTGGGATCACAGGTGTGCACCACTGCACCCGGCTAGAAATCTAAATATTAAATGTTTGCCAGCCCGTCACTGGCTCCAAGAACTGAGTCCACGTCCAGTTTCCAAGAATGGAGCTGAGTGGCTGCCTGTGCGAACATGGCCTCTTTATTAGTTTAGACGAGTGTCCAAGAGGCCCAGGCAAGGGCTCCGACCCCGAATCTGAATTGAGCCTCTCCCCTGGACCGCTCCCTCCTGGGGGCCCAGGGCAGTGGCCCCTGCTGGGGCTGGGATAAGGTGGCATTTTCCCGGTGCGAGGCTGTGGAGACACAGATGCTGGGCTGCGGAGTCGGCCACGCCCCCTCAGACTCCTGCAGGCAGGAGCAGCTCTGCTCCTGCCATGGCCCGTGATGCCCACCACCGAGTCCTCCACACTTTGCTGGGCTCTGTGCAGTATTGTTTTCCGTTGCTGGGACTGACTTGTTTCACTTAGCATTCCCTTTAGGTTCATCTGTGTTGTTGCAAATGGCACGAATTCCTTTTTTATGGCTAAATAATACTGCAGCACATGCGTGCATGTGTAAAGGTTTTTCTTTGTCCATCCCTCTGTCAGTGGGCACTGGGCATTAGGTAGATTCCATGCCTTGGCCATTGTGAGTAATGCTGCAGTGAATGTGAGCATGTGGACATCACTCTGAGGGCTGGTTTCATTTCCTCAGGCACAGCCAGCCTTGGGATTGCTGGCTTATCCGCTAGCTCTGATTTTAGTTCTTTGCGGCCTCACTGCTATCAGTTGGGGGAGATGTTTGTCTGGCCTTTGCCTATTTTTAAAGACTGTGACTTTCCTTTCTCTCTTGCTATTGGGTGGAATGAGTCCCTGGGCAGCAGGGTGGGGATCTAAGTGTGGTGTCTCGGCAGGATGTCCTTGTCCTCTGCCGCATATGAAAGCGCTGCCCCCTTGCTGGGCTGGTTAGTGAGAGCAGTAAGGGAGCGGGCTGAGTTCTCCCCACTGCCCCGCAATGGCTTTGCATTGTTTTCCTGAGGCAACTGACTCAACTAAAAACCTACACTGCATCTCACACCGAGGGAGGCATGTGTTCGGAAACCAGACTTGTGCCCATGCCAGCGAGTCCATGTGTTCTGACTTACCACTGCTGTGTTTTCTAGGAAACTCACAAGATGTGGAGCTCGCCAGGTCAGCTAAGTTGTGAAAGTTTTAGCAAGAATCTTTCTAGCACCTTGGGAAGCTTCAAAAGTGACTTGGAAAATGCCACTGAGCAGGGCTGCCTATGCCAGCCCCCGCTGCGAATGGTCCAACGGCGCCTGCACGAGTACGTCCAGTGTGGCCTCGGGTCTTCTCCAGCTCTTTCCTTTGCGTGGGGTGTGTCTAGCGCTTTTCAGTTATGAATTTCCAGCCAGGCGTGGTGGCGCATGCCTGTGATCCCAGCACTTGGGAAGCTGAGGCAAGAGGATTGCTTTGAGTCTGAGGCCAGCCTGACCTACATAGTGATACCTTATCTCCAAACAAAACAAAACAAAACAAAACAAAACAAAACAAAACAAAACAAAACCTTCAAGCCAGGTGTTGTGGTGCACACCTGTAATCTGGGAGGCTGAGGTAGAAGGATGGCAAGTTTGAGCCCAGCCTGAGCAATTTAGCAAGACTTTATCTCAAAATAAAAAATAGAAAAATGGCTGGAGATGTAGCTCAGTGTGAAGGCCCTGGGTTCAACCCCCATCACCACACAAAACATAAATTTTAGTCAACCATCTGTACCGCATACTATGAATATGCATATTAATATATGTATTTTCTAAACAACTTCAGCCTGAGTTTTTAAGTGTTAGTTTATAAGAGCAGCATTCAGCATGCGGCTAACCTTACTGATGTCTTGACCACAGTATATGCCCAGTATGTTAGGCATGTTTAAGCGTGTTTCACCGTGTGTTCTAAACGTGGTTGTCCGAACAGCCAGACATCTTCACAGGCTCCATGTGATGTTTCTCTGCGAGTGGCAGAGGGAGATCGTGGCTTCGTGCCCCACAGAGGCCTTGTTCTCAGGAAGATGCCCACTGGGCTCTTGCTGCCACTGCTCCTTGGATGGCTTGCGGTCCGCCCATCTGCCCTTTCCACATTTATCGCCTCGCTCGGCAGGGCTCTGAGAAGGACGGGGAGCCGGGTGTGATGGGTGATCATGCACAGATGCTATCGGGAGACTCGGGCGTTTGCCCTCCGGGTTTTATAGAAATGTGCAGCCCAACATTGTGTCATCCTGCTTAACTTAGTCTTAATTTTCTGCCATTTTAGGTTGGCCAAGAGTCTCGGGGAGACTTGGCTGTCAAAGAACCCCGGTATGGCTTTCCTTAGCGACTTTGCAATCCCTGAGGGTGAGTGTGTGGTTCTTTTAATTTTGCTTGATTAGAAGTTAAGCCTTATATTTCCCTCAATGGACTATTAAAATAAAACCCAAGAAGGGAAAGCACTGCTGTATGTGATAAGTCACAGCTTATAAGTTGGCTGGTCTGATGTATTGGGTGTTTATAAAGCATGTCCTAAGGTCCTGGGGTACCCAGGATCAGGCAGAGGAGGGGAGAGCAGCTTCTGGGGCCTGGTTTGCTCTCCCTGTGTCCTTGGATGGAATATTTGATGCCCACTCGTTCTGTTCTGTGTCTACTCCATCTATAGTTCATACAGCTTTTGAGAATCAACACGCTCTGTCTGAAGAATTGTGGGAAATACTTAAGTGACATTCTTTATGGTAAAAAGTGAGATCAGTCACAGGTGTGATTGAAAAATATGATACATTTTTAAAAAAGTGTATTATAAAGACACATTGCCATCAATCTCTCTCAAAACCCTCCCCCTGGCTTCAAATACACTCACCCCCACATTTTTGCTTCTTTTTAGGCAGCTCTGGAGTCCCCTTCCTGAGTGTCTGTAGTTGTGCTGTGGTGGCTGCCTCCATGTCCTGAATGGATTCGAAAATGTTGGCCTTTCTCGGCCATTTTGACTGTGGGAAGAGCCGGAAGTTGCACAGTGACTGGTGAATAAGGTGAACGAGGATGCATTGCCCTGTTTTACAAGCCTTGGCAGCAGCATTCACCATATTTTTAATCACACCACATAAAGACACTCAGGAAAGAAGACTTCCAGAACTGCTTCAGAAAGTGGCCAGAATGATGCGATAAGTGTGTTTGAAGTGAGGGAGGATTTTGAGGGGGATTAATGACAGTGTGTCTTTTCCAATGATATATATATATTTTTTGTGGTACTGGGGATTGAACACAGGACACTTTGCACTTACGAGGCAGGTGTGGCACCACTCAGCTACATCCCCAACCCTGCAATAATAAATTTTTAACTTAAATACTCCCTGTAATTTTTCATCAGGCCTTGTACATGTGGAAAAGTGAGTTTCTTACCTCAGTGGTCATTGTTTCCCCAAAGCAAGCTTTTTCCAAAGCAAATCTCACAATGCACAGATTTTAGAACAAGCAAAGTAACAGCTGGAGAACACCACGTAACATGGGCTTTGATTTACTCATGCAGTAAATGACCTGTTACCCCTGGAGCAGGAAGAGCTTGCTTAGTGTCTACTCCAAGGTGCGCATTGTGATGGAAACTTAGATTGTAAAATCAGATCTTGTTTTCATAGTCATTGATAATCTGAATGTCTATCCTAAAATTTAGCTCCTTTTGTTTATGTTTCAGATGTAAAAGTGAGAGATTTGATGAAGAACATCACCAGGCTAACCGAAGAGCTTCAGTCTTCTGTCCACATCTCCGATGAAACTGTCCGCAGCATTTTGGAAGCAAATATTTCCCGCTCCAAGGTACAGCGCTGCTCTGGGTGCTGTACCTCGGTGTCACGTCCATCTTCCTCCCCTTCCCCTCCCCTCCCCCCTCCTCCCCCTCCCGAGGCTGGGAAATAGCTGCTGTGTCCTCGAAGAACTAAAAAAGGAACGGAAATTGTCATACCCCGAGGGATGTCCTGGGTGGCACTGGGCACGGTCATTGAGGAGCAGGTGCCTTTCATGGCCGCCGCAGGTGTGGTGCGGGCCCCTGGCAGGGCTGTCCTATTGGGGGTTCACCTTTCTCTGCAGAGAACCCTGAAACTGGCCCCGGGCAAGCACAGCAGTCCGCTGGCCCGACGTGCATTTACTTTCATGCCAGCTCTGGTCAATCTGATTTGGTTTGATTTATAAGAATCAATCAATCTAAATTTAAAAAGAAATAGGTTGGAAGCTGGGAAGTCAAGCTTCGTATTATAGTAGGAAGTTGTTTGCAGTAAGACACGTAGCGCCTTACGGTCCTGTCCCATCCTGTCCTGAACTGGGGTTTAAACCCAGGGAGCCACACCCCCAGCCCTTTTTGTTATTTTGAGACAGGATCTCATTAAATTGCCCAAGTGGAAATCCAACCTGCCATCCTCCTGACTCAGCCTCCCTTGGTGCTTGGATTACAGGCGTGTGCATCCGTGCACAGCTGTACTTTTCAATAAAATTCCAGGTTCATCTCATTAAACACCAAGCGGGGGTGGGGACGTTGGAGCGGAAGGGAGAGGGGAGGAGAGCAGGAACATTGTTGTAATTTCTTCTGTTCAGCTCGCTCGCATCCTTTTCTAGAAACTGTGATTGGCTTTGGTTTGAAATCTCCGGTGACCGGAACTCCTACGGGAAGCGGAGCTCTGGTGCATAATTTGGGAAGCAGCCAGAGGCCGCCCTAGGAGGAGTAAGAGATGCTGACTTCCGTCCCAGTCCGTTCCCTAACGGTGCCTTTCGGGCTTGGCAGCGCCTGTACTGCAGAGCGGCCACTGGGTGGCGCTAACGCTCCATCCCGGAAGGCTTGGATTTGGGCGCGGCTGCCGCCCGGAGGGTTTGCAGTGTTTTGAGGCCGTGCATCTTCCTCTGCAATGAAGTCACTGCGATCGCCTGAGTAGCGGGGTGGTCAGGTAACCCGGAGGGTGTGAGCAAGACCCCGGGCCCCATTGAAATGTGCACCGAGGCCGTTAGCCTTGATACCACTAGGGTGTCCCCCGT